CGGGTAGCCGACCGACGTTGGTTGGTCCATAAGATTTCACAGGTTTTTCCTGCCATCATCTCAATTCTGCAACTGTCGCCATCATGACGCTCTGGAACAAGGACTTTTGCGCAGAGCCTTCGTGTCGTTGCGGCAAGTCCTCTGCACAGCTGCTCATCGACTACCTCAACTACCAAACCACGGACGGCTACGTCAACTACAAGCGATGGAAAGGCGGCAGCAAGAAGAGGGATGGTAAATCCAAGATCACGATCGCGGGGGAGATCGCGGCCATGATCAAGGAGCATGGGCTCACCCGCACAAGCAAGTCCGTCAAGACCAAGATCGAAGAGCTCCACACGAAGTTCAACGAGGCCATCGACAAGTTTGGCTACACGGGTAGCGGTGTCGAGGACGGCACTATTCCGGTAAGATCATGCGATGAAAGATCGATTTGACGTCCCGTGGGTGTGCTAGGAGGCAATTCTTGATATATGCCCTCATTTTAAAGAAATCAAGAACGTCTTTGGTGAACGCGCCTCTGCGTTACCCGTCCTTCGTTCCTCGAATGAGGACGATACGCCGGTGACTCTCGAGTCCTTACGGCAAACATTTGACGCCTACGACAGCGACGGCGGCGAGAGCGCTGGCGAAGAAGGCAACGAAGACGCGAACGATGACGCGAACGACGACGCGATTGATGACGCTCTGGCTGCCAACGTCGATGACGACGAGAACCAACACGGGCCCGGAGACGATGTGGCGCAGACCATTGCGCAGACCATTGCTCCTCGAGTGCAGACCATTGCTACTCGCGCGCTCCCCGAACGCTCCGAAGGCTCTCCCCTCAAGGCACAGCGCACCCCCGAGAAGAATGCGGACGGTACCACCTCGTCCTCCTCATCCTCGTCGTCGTCATCGCCCTATGGACCGCCGTCCAAGAAACCCAAGTTGTCAAGTGACCGCAAAAAGTCCATGTCACTAGGTGAGGGCATGATGCACGGAATGCAGGAGTCGACGAAGGCCGTTGAGAAGGCGGCCGATCGGCTTTTTGAAAGTCGCCAGGCCGAGCTCGAGTACAAGAAGAAGAAGGACAAGTCGGAGGCCGAGGCGAAGATGGCCGAGCTCGAGTACAGGAAGGCAAAGGAGCAGGAAGAGATCAACATAAGGAAGGAGGAAGTGGCCATCAAGCGTAGCGCGCAGCGCCACGCAGCGACCATGGAAGAGGCCCGCCTGATGCGTGAAATGGGCTACTCCAAAGAAGAGGTGCTTGATTACATTAGACAAAACAAGTGAAGATTCTCTTTAGTACCTGCTTGATTAAGACAACCTTATCATCCATGGTTATCATCTAGTTGTTGTTCGAGAACGCGGTCACTAATTGGCGGCGAAGATCATGAGTCGAACCCGGAATGATTGCTTCGCCGGGAACGTTGTTGCGGTTGACGCGTACGCCGTCAATATCTTCGTCGTGCACACCGTGCGTTGCATCGTAATCCTGCATTTCCGATGCGTACAACCCCTCGTCGTCGCACTCGTCGAGCACGAGTTTATGCAGGGCGACGGCGCAACGGATAAGGAGGATCATGTGCCTCGCCCCGGCCAACTTGGCGATGTCGCACCACATTCCGCGCAGGGCTTGGAAGCGTCCTTTCAAGAGCCCAATAGCGTGCTCGTTGATGCAACGGCACTGAGCTAGGCGCGTGTTGAACACATTGTGCTCGAGGGGCATAGAATTGTCGCGACGAGCGCGACCTTCTTGGCCACGAGTCCGTCCTCGGACTTTACGCTTGTGAAACTCAACGTCAAGGACGGTGTCGATTTGGCCAAGTACGGCTACCTCCAAGTGCGCCTCGACGGCCCCAAGCTCAACGAGACGATCCACATTCTTGGGCACGCGGCCGCATGGCCCAAGCGCTTTGCCGTCACGACGCTCGGTGGCCCCGGCACTGTGACGAGCACGAGCTTCCAGTCGCTCTGTCAAGCCGACGAGTTTGCATACCGCCTTGATACGCAGGGCGGCAACTCGGGCTCGCCAGTGGTTTCGACCGACGAGAATGTCGTCGTTGGTATTCACAACTGCGGTGGCTGCCCCGACGGCGACAACGCCGGCATCAAGATCAACAACGTGTTTGACATTCTCAAGGCGCAGAACATCGTGAA